AAGAGTAATGATTCTCGTTTTACGCACGTACGAGATATTCGGCGATACTGTTTTTTTTGCGTACGAAGTTCATGCAGAGCTAAGCACATGTGGCGCCGGTGTGCGTGCGTGCGTGGCGTGCGTGCTAGCGGGCGCTCGTGTGTCCGTGCCGTCTGCCGTCTGTACTGTCTGTCTTGTCATGTCCCTGTCTGTCTGTCTGTCTGTCTGTCTGTCTGTCTGTCCTGTCTGTCTGTCTGTCTGTCTGTGCTGTGCTGTGCTGCCCTGTCTGCCTGTCTGTCTGTCTGTCTGTCTGTCTGTCTGCCTGTCTGGTCTGTCTGTCTGTCTGTCTGGTCTGGCCGCTGTCTGCTGGCTGTCTATCTGTCTGCGCGCGTCTTCTGTCGTGTCTGTGTGTCCTGTGTAGTCTGTCTGTGTGTCTGTCTGTGCTGTCTGTCTGTCCTGTCTGTCTGTCTGTATGTCTGTCTGTTCTGTCTGTCTGTCTGTCTGTCCTTGTCTTGTCTGTATGTATGTATGTATGTCTGTCTGTCTATCTATCTGTCTGTCTGTCTGCCTGCCTGCCTGCCTGCCTGTCTGTCGGGCTAGCTGGCTTCTTATCTGTCCGGTCTTTTGATATGATCTTGCGTTGCCCCTTCATGCTCCTCTAGCGTTGCTCCCGCTCACCCTCTGCCCTTTATCCTCCTCTCGCTCGCGTGTCCATGTTTATGTCGGCGGTTAGAGTTGCTTTATCGATACTCGCGGATAAATTAGCATGAACAACAAACAAACCCGTCTGCAATTATGAGATTGTGGCTCACCTGATCCTATTTGTATACGTATCTAAAGATGTGCGATGCATGTAATAAGAAGAGCCTGAATTCCATTTTAATTATCTACATACCAGTAAAGGATGGGCTAACGGCGCTTTCATGCATTACCTTGACGCTTAATACGTGTTAATCATCCTGATAACAACGGCGACAGTAATATGACAAAGTAACTAGTAGTTCATGTAGAGTAAAATTGACTAATGCAAGTAATCATCCTGCGCTACGTGAAAGCATTCGCTTTCATGCCTTCATATGTAACACAAGTGACCGTATACTGTCTAATACTTAGATACATGATAATTGCTGTCAACCTGTCGCGTATCGTACATTTTCGCGTGTGTGCACCACATACTGCACAGCTTCCTGTTCCCTATTACGCTTCAGGACGGCAAGCCTATTTTTAACCAATGCACGGAATTTTAAGCAACATTTCGCGCAAGCTCTCGCGATAACGAACGGCGGCAAAGTAGGGAAGGAGATTCGGGCAACGAATTATAACCTGGTCACTCATTCTGTTCGGCGCAAACGACCAACAAGCAGGCGAAAACTAACATAACGCGTCAGCAAACACGCAGGCACGATGCAGTTTTTAACGTAGACGGTAATGATTTGCAATGCAGATCGTGTCTGAGTATCGACTGACGGAGATGCGAGCCCAAGGTGATTGTTTAATGATGGTTCGCTTATCATAATATAGCATAGGTCGAGCAATAGCATAACTGCCGCGATGATTTCATTCACGTTCACTGCTCACGCTGTATAGCGCGCGTTCCTAGCTAAACATAGTATATACGTCCATAATTGGTGCATGACGATTGTCCACCTCATGCTCGTTAATGATTACTTGTCCCCACACGTTGTTCACACACACGACGCAGCACCACACACACACACACAACACACACACACACCTACACACACACACACTACACACAGCCCACCACACAACATCACACACATCTCATCACACACATATATATATATTATATTGCATGCATACATCACGCACACTCCACACATAACACACCAGCTACGTCATACACCACAAACACTCACACATACAACACTACCTCACACATAACACATACCATACTCACACATAACACATACAAACATACACTCACGCATATACACACATGCTCACACATACTTCATACATACACAGATACGATACAACATAACACACACCGGGTCCCCGTCGCGCAGTGGCGCGCGCACACACACGAAGGCGCCGCGCGGCGCACGGGCACACACACACACAGGCCACAACACACACACAGGTCCACACACACACAATATTATATATATATATATATATATATGATACGCATACACACGTCCACTGCACACACTACACACATATCTTACCCATAACGCATACACACACATACACATACCCTCACACATACACACTGCACGCACGACTCACAGCATTACCAGCGGCGAGGCGCACGCACGCACGCGCACGCACGCACGGTACCCCCCACACACTGATGAGTCAACCTGACAGTATCTGCGCCTCATATACCACAACGAGACAGCAACGAAATTGCATCAATTCTCCGTTTTGCAGGAGTGAAACTCCAACGACATGAAGTTCCACCCAGCATGCCAAATTCTCTTGGTTAAGAGCCTGTAAAGGTATGGGTCCTTTCATGTCAACCGCTCCGTGAAAAACCGACGCGCGGTAAATCAGTAGGCCGAGATTCGCTCTCCTTATGGACCGTACATCACGAGTATCCGAGATATGATTGAATCCACACGCAATAGAAACACAATCTACGGCAAACTATTCAGCCGACTAACATGCTCAACGAGAGAAGGAATGCCGACGAAAGCAAAATTGATACATGACAGTCCGGTCGCCCTGCCTCGCGGGCGCAACGGCTTAATTAGGCTTGATGCGAATAGCCACGCGTTGCATCATCATTATCGGTATCTGCATCTTACATTTCTCATGCTAGCATCGACTGCCGGTACAGGCGCTGTTCGACTTGTAACTATATATAATCTACTATATATATATATATATATATGTGTGTGTGTGTGTGTGTTGTGTGTGTGTGCTGTGTGTGTGTGGTGTGTGTGTGTTTGTGTGTGTGTGTTGTGTGTTTGTGTGTGTGATGTGTGATGTGTGTGTGTGTGTGTGTGTGTGTGCCGCGTCGTGTGTGCGCGGCGCGCGCGTGTGTGTGGCGTGTGTGTGTGGTAAGGGGGGGGGTGTACGCCGCGCGCGTGTGTAAGCATACGTGTGTGTAAGTCAACGGTGTGTGCATGCTTGTGGATGATTATATTGACACTTTGACCGTAATATAAGTGAGCAGAAGAGCACGTCTTTGCTCATATTTTGTGCTTCCTGAAAAGGGGCAGATCGGTTGTTACTGAAAAGAGATTCAGAAGTGGCTCCGAAGACAGCCCTGCTCAGAAGAATGAGAGCACGAGTTAACGCCCGGAGAGCAGCAGGCTTTTCATCTCCTGTCGTAGGCTACGTCTCTCACCAGTCTTCGGCATTGCGAGGATGCCTATTAGAGTTGTGGTTTTTGTCGTAACATTGCTCGTAGTATTCACCGGGTGGAGTAATGAGCTCCGCGTCCGGTGATTTACAATAGGTATGAAATACATGTGCTGGCGATTTAACGCTGCAAGTGCCCTAGCACCCTACGCCGCGTCGTTTGAGTGCTCCTCGGTAGTGGCTTCTTGTCGAACATATATGATCGAGCCAAGCAGTTCAACTGAACGGCGTCAAAAGCAAGAAAGGCACTCTGTAACACGGGGATAGGCTATGCCCGGGGAAATTCACAACATGTGGGTAGGCCTCGTTTACACGGGGTAAGGGAGGTCAACGCTGCACAGATAATGGATTGCCAATACACCGCTGCGTGCTCGGGTAGGCCCTACTGTGATTTATAGCAGAAGCCGCTAGTCACGCAGAGCTCCTCTCTTCAAACAAGCTTACTGCCGCTAATGATGGGGATGGCTGTCGAATCAAGAATTCAGTTCGGCACATAGATATTGTTATGAGTTACTTAATGATAGGGCCAATTGAACGCACATAGTGATTTTTTATCGACTGGTGCGGTGGTGGCACCGAACAGGGTTACTTACCGGTACTACTCACAATTTAGAGCATTATGGCAATCTACTTGAGAGTCTGTTACACTATAAGGCTTCATTATGACACAAAATTTCTCGTCGCGACGCGCGGTAAAACAAGCGAGACTGACTCGCGTTTAATGGCTATTACGATTGTTATGGATCTTTTCCCTTTAGGTTTTAACACGCGTAACGTGATTGTTTATACTGAGTTGTCGCCCCCGCTAACTTACCATGTCGTAGTGAGTGTTGCCGTGACGTAAGACACACCGTGAGGGTCCCGGCGCCTGCGGTGCGAGATTCCCTATTCTATAGAGCACATCGACCGGCATCAGGCGATAGCTGATGATGTTTGCACACGGAGGAGTAACTCGAACAGCGCTTTGCTTTGAATGTTTCTCAAGCGGAAAGATTAGCTTATATTCTCGAGATGGCAACCTTATATAGCTTGCTGTTTTACTTGTAAAATAAATAAAAATATTTAGGGGCGGTAGCCTAAGGTGCTGATGAAGCGTTGTATGCGTAGATTCGAGCTGTTATTACAAGACCAGGAGATTTATCTATAACAGGATTCGTCGATTGCTTCCTCGAACGTAATTGTTTGTTTTTTGAAAACAGGGAATGTACTATATCAGCGAGGTGACGTGAATAATGATGGTCTAGAGTCAAGCTTCATTTGTACATAGTAATAATTCCAATTTATAATTGAAAGAGTTCTCTTGCATCACTGAGCTAGCGGAATTGTTACATTCTCTCGTGGGGTCTTAATTCACGGGCAATAGTCAAGTGATAGTTTATTTTTTCAGAATTCATGATAAAAGCAACCTCGTGATAACTAACTCGTTTTAAATGAATTTTACGGTCGATTAACTTTAATGAGTGTAAGAATTTAGTTAACGATCGAGTTATGATCGAACTTCAACGATCAAGTTACGAATCTCAGAAATGACGAATTGACGATTCAGTCTTAACGGACAAAGTCTTACGATTGATTAAAAGATTTGAATTAATGATTGAGTAGATCGAGCTAAACATATCGAGCTTATTGAATTAAGTCAACGATTTAATTTATGAACTTGAAGTTCAATAAATCGAGTTTTCGATTGGCTGTCAAATGAGGGCATTTCTCTTTGATTGAAAGATTGAAGGTTAATGGTTTGAGTTAAACGAGCCGACGTTATACGATAGAATTAACGGGCCATAGGTATGATTCGAGTTTATTAACGAACGATCGAGTTACGATCAAGTTTAACGAATGGGTTAAACGATCGAGTTAATGATTGGCGACACTCTCCTCGAGATGCTGTGTGAGATTGACTGCTCTTCTCCGTGTGGCCACGTGCCGCGTATGATTCCAGGTGCCCAGGGCACCGCACGACGTTGTCACCAGCTCTGTGACAGCAGCCAGTTCGTGCCAGTGTAGGCATGCGAACTCTTCGACACGAGCACCTTGGCTGTGCGACTTTCTGTATGAGGAACAGCGACGAGTGGTCGACGGAGTTCGAGCAGGCAGCCGTAATGTTCTGCGTCACGTCTTGCTTATCAGGTGGGCGCAGCGTCCATTCGTTGGCGATGTCCGCTTTACTATGATGAGGAAAGACTTCGACGCCTCGTTCGTCCCGCCGTCGCAGCTCCGCTTCACCGCCTGCGCAGCGAGTCCTTCTGGATACGTGTCGCGGGCAGGCCGAATCTTCGACTCGATGACCGCACCTGATCTCCATGTTGAGCGACGACCGGCGGCTAGCGACGTGTACTGCGCATGTTTTTCAGCTTGTGCGACGTCGCCTCCGCGTTCCAGCTCGACGGCATCTCGCTGCTGACGAGGCCGCTTCCGCACGTTAGGGTACAGCAGCGTGTTCGCACTTGGCGATAGTCTGTGAGAAACTTACGCGAAGTTTGCTGCGGGCGCGGCTTCGGCTTACTTGTGGCGATGTCGTCGCTCTATCGTCTGCGCGACGTTCGACGTGGCCGTGTGCGAGCCCGCGCCTGCTAGCGGCGACGACTAGGCGCCGGTCAGTCGGTCGGCGCGTGGCCGGGAGCCGAGGCTTGCGGTCGGCAGGCGGATTTTTGTCTCTCGGTGACGCACGGTGTCGTGGCAGTGACAGAGGAGCCATTGTTTGACGAGAGAGAGGTGGTTTGCGGAGGAAGTAAGTTCGCGCGGCTTGTCAGGGTTCGCGTCATCCACTCGACTCGACGTCGTGGTACTAAGACGCGTCATGCTGGCGCCTGAAAAATAAGACAGCGTACGAGCGTGCTGAGAATGGCCGTTTAGATATCTGATCGACCTGCGGCGCGACCGAGTTTTAGTCGGTGGATATTTTAATTAGGAGTTTTGTTCCGAATTCTTGAGTGACAATTTGAATTGAGGGCATGAAGTAAGGATTTGGCGTTGGAAACGTAATTTAGACTTTGTGCGGTTAGGGCACCCGCGCGATGCAAAACACAGTTTCATGTGGTAATGATCCATAATCTTTATTTGTAGTTTCGGGCGGCAATGAGACAAAACACAACTGTCAAGCGAGAAACGAAAAAAGCTGAAATCCGAGCAATGTTTTGTAAATTACAGTAAACATGGAATTTTAATAATTCGGTACAGCGTTTGCTACGGTGCAGCTTTGTTTACTTTATCTCGATCCACTGTATTCGCGTAGCGCTCAGCATCAGCAAGCACACGCTACATCGAACATGAGAAGCTATTTTGAAACGAAAATTCGAACTCGATACCAATGACGATTTGTTCGCAGTGCTTTTTGACGAATGGAATGTAGTCATTCATGGCGATTGGTCATAGTTGAACAGGTTCTGGTATGGCGGCAATACTGGGGAAATACGAAGCGCGACGCACTGTGCGGATTTCGACGTTAATACGTCACGGTGTTACTAGCTTCGATTGAACGAGAGTGAAATGTGGAACCATGTCAGAAGTTTTTCGTTACAAAACCGACGTTAATTTACCCACGATAGTATATGAAACCATGAAAAGCCAGACAAGACAGACAGACTACATAAATACATACATACATACATACTATACATACATAATCATAATACATACTATATCATTACATACATACATACATACATATCATACATAAATACATACGTACATAATCACATACAGTACATACTACATACACATACATACATACATACATACATACTACATACATACCATTACATACATACATAATACTATACTACATACTACATACTACATACTATTACATACATACATAACATACTACATAACATACTAAATCAATAGCAATAATACCATACATAACATACATACAATACTAAACATACATACATACATACATAATACATACTATACATACATAACATACATACATACACATAACATAATAACATACATACATACATCATACTACAATATCAATAAGCATACATACTAATACATACATACAACATACATAACTACATACATACTACATACCAACATCCATAGCTACTCGTAGTAGTACGTATACGTAGCAAACAGAATAAGCAGAAGACAGAAGACGAAGATAGACCGACAGCTAGCCAGACAGACACATAACAGAGACAGACAGAAGACAGGACAGACAGACAACGCAGACAGACGACAGACAGACAGACAGACAGACAGACAAGCCAAAAGACAGATTAGATCAGACAGCTAGACAGACAGACAGACAGATACGGGCCCGGGCACAAGATCGACCTCAAGCTGCACCAAACACCCCATTTCCGATTCTTTTCTATTTGTATTAAATTTCACGGGCCTAATCGTCTGACAGCTCAGAACCAACGTGGAATTACAGCGACTGATTACTGTGACGGTAGTAATATTTGAATTGTCCATATTCTGATGCTGTCACATAATATAACATTTTGTCCGGCCGATAACTGTTTGCTCAAAACATCATCGTCTACTGTGTTCATCAGTCATAACATCTTTGTTTGGAAGTACTGTGGCTCTAGTAGACATCATAACCACAACCCTGTTTAGCCATTCATGTGTAACCGTGTAGTTAATCAGCGTTAGTGGCCGGTAACGCTATGGCTAACTGTCTGCGTGGTAACATCCCAGTTGGCCTACTCCCATTTCGCCTACGTCCATTCGCCTACTCCCATTTCGATCTACTCTCAGAATGGCAATATTCCAATTTCGCCTACTCCATTATGCTCATGTATATATTCTATTGTGTCAAGTTGTGTTCTCATTAGTTGTAGCCTATTTTTCTGTGGTTCCTGTAGTCTATGTATGCGCATATCAAACCATATTTTATTATTTATAAATGATTATTTAGTGAACAAACCGATCGTAGACGAAATGGGAATGGGGTAGATTTTGAGCGTAGACGAATTGGGAGTAGGCGAAATGGGTGTAGGCGAAATGGGTGTAGGCCAACTGGGAATTTTGTTGTAGGCGAAATGGGAATTTTACCGTAGGCGAAATGGGAGTAGGCCAACTGGGAATAAACCGTCTGCGTGCCCTGACAGTATGAGTTACTACTACATACATGTTATCAGGGGTGAACAATGACATATTTGTCATTATTCACCCCTGATATTATTCATGTTCCTGAGTTCAGCTTCCTAACTCACCAAATTGCAAATTATTCGTATTTACCAACGAGAACATCGCGTAAAGTTATTTACATTAGGTATCCTTACATGGCTAAGTAAATGTCAAGATGCACTGCCCACGGGCGCGGATCACTTCGCATCGGGAGCGTGTCTCATGTGACCCAGATTTTAGCGGCACGCTTTTATATTCGATATAACATGTGTTTGATATTGCGGAATGAGTTTACTGCGGAATGTGTGACTACTGCTGCTGCTGTTGCTGTTGCTGTTGCTGTTGTTGCTGTTGCTGTTGTTGCTGTTGCTGCTGCTACTGCTGCTGCTGCTGCTGATGATAATGATGATGATGATGACGATGATGATTATGACGATGATGATGACGATGACGATGACGATGACGACGACGCCGCCGCCGACGACGACGACGATGATGATGAGGATGATGACGACGACGATGGTGATGGTAATGATGATGATGATGATGATGATAATGATGATGATGTTGATGATGATGATGATGGCGATGACGACGATGATGCTACTAGTGCTGGGTGTTACGGGTATTGTCCGTGGCGATTACAGCCTTACCAGCGTGATTTAAATTCACCGACGCTTCAGCGGCGCGCACCCATTTTCATGCATACATCGCAAATATAGGGCGCCATTATATGCAGTAATAGAGCACATCCGCGTTCATCGCCTACATCAAAGAGCGATGCCGATAATGATCGCAAGCGAGGCTTCGTGTTGCTAGGACTTCGCGCGAGCTCGTATTGACAGAATGCCAGTCACCGCGATCAGCGCTCTGCATTACACATTCATTTTCAATTAGACGCTCAGCGCGCTCAGCTGAGCGAGGAAGTAGGAAACAACAAATCTCATCGAAATCTTAACGAGTAGCATAGTCGGCGTAGTGATATGACGTATTGGTCCACGCACAGGACCCAAAAGTAGATAATCTATGAATGATTCATGCAGTTGCGCCGTTTGAAGCTGATTCGTATGGGATAGGAACAATGTCACTCGGTTTATACGAGCACAGATGGACGGATGGACGGACAAAAGAACGGACCAAAGGATGAATGGACGGACGGAAGAGAGATCGGACCAAAAGACGAGCTGATTGACAGACTGATAGATATAAACAGCCAGAAATACACTAACAAACTAAAATCCGGCGAACGGAAACACGTGGGAATTAATGAACAGACGGATAGGTAAACCAGCATAAATATATAGACAGACAGTCAGTCAGTCAGTCAGTCAGTCAGACAGGCAGGCAGACAGAGGGACAGGCGGACAGACGGACAGATGGACAATCGTACAGTCAAACGGAAAAACCTCGACAGACAAACTGGCAAGGATAAGCTGTCAGACACTGCAGACCGAGACACAACTATCAGTATTGATGTTTTGTGTGGTGTAATCGGGTGAGGAATCACGCCCGAAACGAGAGTGAAGCATGGCATTTTGTTTCCCGCGACCATTTTATGGGTCCCTAACGCTGTAGTGTACATGCGCCCACAGTGCGTGCGGCATCACAAATAATGATGCTGTCGATATCAATATACAACGCTGATTACTGCTGGTCTCCTTCAAGCAAATGCTTGTCACAGGACTCTTAAGGGGTAGCTTTAAAAATAAGCGAGATTTATTTGGAATAAATCTAAGACCGAAGAAGGGGGTGGGTGGAGGAAGGTAGGAATTTTTTTTTTAAATGGGGTGCTATTTGACGCCCTCAGCAGCAATATGAACATGATATTTCTTGCTTATATAAGCATGCAAAAACATACAATGTATAAAAATCATAGTGACTGTAACAGGACTAAAAATAAAAAAATCGATGAACGCGTGATTACGTGTAGTAACGCGTACTATGACGTCAGATTAGCAAAATCAGTCGCTGGGTGCGCCACAAGTAATAGGCCCTACATGTCGAGATTCCCGTGCCTCGTGTCCCGCGTTTTCGGCTAGACCCACTTCTCGCAACGAAGAAAACTGGATTCTTGCAATTGCGTGAGATTTTCGGGGACTATCAGAAATGTGCGTGAGAGCGTGAGATTGTGCTGAATTGCGTGAGACTCACGCCAAATGCGTGAGCTAGGCTTGTGAGCCCTGTTGTCACGTTTTTCTTATCAATACAAAATTTAAA